TGAAGTAGCAAAAGCAGGGTCATATTTCATTCTAGCATTCAAAGACTTTTCTTTCATCTTAGCTAACAGTTTCTTAAGATCATATCTATCTTTGCAAGCAAAAAGGTCTCTAGCAGTTTCTTTATCCATATTATAACCTTCAGGCACATCAGGCAATTCATATCTAGGGGAGAATATTCATCATCACTTTCATCAATATTATCTATTTCAATAATTTCATTCTCTCTAACCCTTGCAAGTTGTTCATCAAGAAATTAACCTAATGGCACAGTATTATCAAGCATAGAAGTAGTTTCATCATAAGCATCATGCATAGCAGAAGTGGCATCATCAATAACATGCAACATATCATAATCAATAGCAGGAGTAGGTGTCGCAAGTTTACTCAAAACAGAAGGAGAATCAAGTGCAGAGCTAGATGGAAGTTCCTTACCTCCCCTCGTAGTTGAGGGAAAAATCTTGGTTCTTTCATCTTTCAAGTTCCTCATAGTGATCAGCAGATATAAATCCCAAGTGACTCAAAGAACAGAGCTATGCTCCCCAACAACGGCGCTAGAAAATGGTCTTGATAACCCACAAGTATAGGGGATCGCAACAGTTTTCGAGGGTAGAGTATTCAACACAAATTTATTGATTCGACACAAGGGGAGCCAAAGAATATTCTCAAGTATTAGCAGTTGAGTTATCAATTCAACCACACCTGAAAGACTTAATATCTGTAGCAAAGTATTTAGTAGCAAAGTAGTATGGAAGTAACGATGGCAAAAGTAACAGTAGTAGTTTTTGTAGCAATCGTAACAGTGGCAACGGAAAAAGTAACTAAGCAAAGATCAATATGTGAAAAGCTCGTAGGCAATGGATCAATGATGGATAATTATGTCGGATGCGATTCCTCATACAACAATTATAACATAGGGTGACACAAAACTAGTTGCAGTTCATCAATGTAATGTAGGCATGTATTCCAAATATAATCATACGTGCTTATGGAAAAGAACTTGCATGACATTTTTTGTCCTACCCTCCCGTGGCAGCGGGGTCCTATTGGAAACTAAGGGATATTAAGGCCTCCTTTTAATTGAGTACCGGACCAAAGCATTAACATTTAGTGAATACATGAACTCCTCAAACTACGGTCATCACCGGGAGTGGTCTCGATTATTATCACTTCAGGGTTACCGGATCATAACACATAGTAGGTGACTATTGACTTGCAAAATAGGATCAAGAACTCACATATATTCATGAAAACATAATAGGTTCAGATCTGAAATCATGGCACTTGGGCCCTAGTGACAAGCATTAAGCATAGCAAAGTCATAGCAACATCAATCTTAGAACATAATGGATATTAGGGATCAAACCCTAACAAAACTAACTCGAATACATGGTAAATCTCATCCAACCCATCACCGTTCAGCAAGCCTACGATGGAATTACTCGCGCACGGCGGTGAGCATCATGAAATTGGTGATAGAGGAAGGTTGATGATGACGATGGCGACGGATTCCCCTCTCCAGAGCCCCGAACGGACTCCAGATCAGCCCTCTCGATGAAGATTAGGGCTTGGCGGCGGCTCCGTATCATAAAACGCGATGAATCCTTGTCTCTAATTTTTTTTTCTCCCTGAACTTGAATATATAGAGTTGGAGTTGAGGTCGGTGGAGTCCTAGGGGGCCCACGAGGCAGGGGCGCGCCCCAGGGGGCGCGCCCTGCACCCTCGTGGACAGGGTGTGGGCCCCCTGATGTTGATTCTTTTGCCAGTATTTTTTATTAATTCCAAAACGCGTCTCCGTGGATTTTCAGGTCATTCTGAGAGCTTTTATTTCTGCACAAAAATAATACCATGGCAATTCTGCTGAAAACAGCGTCAGTCCGGGTTAGTTCCATTCAAATCATGCAAGTTAGAGTCCAAAATAAGGGCAAAAGTGTTTGGAAAAGCAGATACATTGGAGACGTATCAAACGCCTCATGTGCATATGAGGTGAGCTAGAGCACCACAAAGCTCTCCCCTCGTCGGCCAGAAAATAAAGCAGTGTGGAGTGCTCTGCTCGCTGGAGAGGGGGTATATATAGGCATCTCATTGGTCCCGGTTCATGGCTGAAACCGGGACTAAAGGACCCCCTTTGGTCCCGCTTCCAGCCACGAACCGGGACCAATGGTTGACCAGGACCAAAGGGTCCAGACGAACCGGGACCAATGCCCCACGAGGCCCGGCCGGCCCCTGGCCTCACGAACCGGGACCTATACCCCCATGGGACTAATGGGCTGGCCAGCCCTATTTTCTACTAGTGCCCCTCACGGGCTGGCCCTAAAGGCCATGAACCAGATTTCGGCGAACCATTCACGCGCATGTCTCATGCACGCGTCGCTTCGGCCCAGGCAAGGCGAGACAAGCGTGATCTTTTCTTTTTCACATCACTTAGTGTGGTGGTGGGGGGGGGGGGCACTACTATATAAAGAGGTCACCACCACTTCTCATTTTACACATGGGTGAATTTGAGATTTCAGAAATTGTACATGGGCCTAGGCCATTCGGACACATATTGCTCGTGGTCATCCGAGCCCTCAAGGTCGTGCTCGGGTTTAATTGAATATTGTTGTTCAAATATATTATAAAAGTTCATCGGGAGTACAAAGCATCTCGAATATAATAAAAGTTACATCGATAAGACCACCGAAAGACCACTATTGCCGCCAGGACGAACCGTCAATGTGCCATTGTCACCGCTCTCTACCGGAGCCGGCTTGATCTTGTTGATGACAGACGGAAAGTCTTCGAGCATGTGCCCCTAAGGACCAGCATCATGAAGCCGCAATTCTCATTGTAGAACCCTTGCATAAATATGAAACACCTAACATCAAATCTCGCCACATGACGAGAAAATCTAACTTCACCGCCCCAAGGAAACGACAGGAATCTAGGTCGAAGCTCCGTCGACTACGTCCAGACAGACGAATTCGGAAGACAAACTCGAAGAAGAAGCGCCGGCATCCGCCCGAGCACGCCACGCCTGCGAGGACTAAAAAAACCTAACCTAAACTACTAACCGGAGTGGAAACACCAAGATTCCCGTCCCCGCCACCAAACGCCGGAGCGGCAGGCATCGGGAAGAGGAATCCACGGACTCGACGGTGAAGTCTAAAGGGTAGAGTTTGCCTTAATCATAAGGGTCAGGGGATGAACCAAGATGTCTCACTACCAAGTGCGTGCCGGCCTGTCTGTGTCCATGTGAAACGCGCTCCATGTGCATTTTGGCGATCGCCGATTCGATTGGAGTTGCTCTTATAGTTGGAAGAGCCTCCGCACTGTTGCTCCAAAAATTTCTCCAGCAGTTGCGTGGTTGCACGCCACGTCATTTCGCAATTAAGGTCAATTCTTTCCCGTAGATCTAGCATATTCTGAAAATAAAAAATAAGATCTAGCATTATTGGCACGCCCGTGACCTCGGGTTGTCGATGAGTTTGTTTATATTCCGCAGTTCGCGATGATATTTGCAATCTATGGTGGTCGACTAGTATTCTCTTCCAGATATCGACAAGAGCTGAATGCGTCCAATGCGAGTATGCGACGGCCAAATGCCCATACGCCAGCACTAGGAAAGTAGTTAGCTCGAACGATTGCACTGGAACAGTACAGTAGAAGCTCGGCCAGAATAGCTTGAGCTGCAACCATGGAGCTCACGGCCTGGCCACCGCTCCTCTTGCTCATCACTCTCTCACTCTCGCTCGCAGCTTCGCTCCTCTTCTTGCTCAGCAGCCGCCACGGCGTCGAGAAGAAGGCGACCGGTAAGGAGCTCCCCCCGGGCCCGCCGGCGCTAGTCTTCCTGGCTAAGTTCCTAGCGCTCCGGCGATCCATCTTCCACCTTGAGCCGCTCCTCCGCGAGCTGCACGCGCGCTACGGCCCCGTCATCTCCATCCGCCTCTTCCGCGCCCTCGTCTTCGTCTCCGACCGCCGCCTCGCCCACCGCGTTCTCGTCCAGGGCGGCGCCACCTTTGCCGACCGCCCGAGGCTCTTCGAGCCGGGGCTCCTCTTCACCTCCGGCTCCCGCAACATCAACGCCGCGCCCTACGGGCCTTACTGGCGCCTTGTCCGCCGCAACCTCGCCTCCGAGGCGCTGCACCCGGCCTGCGTCAGCCAGTTCGCGCCCGCCAGGCGCCGGATGCGCGACGTGCTCGTCCGCGACCTCAGCGCGCGCGGCGCCGGCGGCGACCCCGTCGAGGTGAGGACGCCGTTCCGGAACGCCATGTTCGACCTGCTCGTGTACATGAGCCTCGGCGCCCGGCTCGCCCCGGAGCTGCTCGACGAGATGCAGGAGATGCAGCTGTGGGTCGTCCGCACCATCACCAGCTTCCCCATCTTTTCCTTCTTCCCGGCGCTCACCAAGAGGCTCTTCCGCAAGCGATGGGAAGCGCACCTTGCCGTCCGCCGGAGGCAGGACGAGATCTTGCTCCCGATGATCGAAGCACGGCGCTCCGCTTCCGTGCCCCGCGGCGCCGATGACCCGCCGTGCTACGCCGACTCGCTCCTAGCGCTGCGCGTGGCCGACGAAGGCGGCCGCCCGCTCACGGACTCTGAGCTCGTCAGTCTCTGCTCCGAGTTCTTGAGCGGCGGCACGGACAGCACGGTGACCTCGCTGGAGTGGATCATGGGGGAGCTGGTGAACCATCCGGACATGCAGGCCAAGGTCTACGAGGAGGTCAGGAGCAAGCCGGAGCTCAGCGAAGGCGACCTGCAGCGGATGCCGTACCTGAAGGCCGTGGTCCTCGAGGGGCTACGGCTCCACCCGCCGGCTCACTTCCTCCTCCCTCACGGCGTGCATAGCGACACGGAGATCGGCGGCTATAGGGTCCCCAAGGGCGCGGAGGTCAACTTCCTGGTCGCCGAGTTCGGGCGAGACGAGACGGTGTGGGCGGCGGCGCGGGAGTTCCGGCCGGAGCGGTTCCTGGACGGCGGCGAGGGGTGCGGCGTGGACATCACGGGGAGCAGGGAGATCAAGATGATGCCCTTCGGAGCGGGCCGCAGGATGTGCCCGGGATATACGCTCGCCATGCTGCACTTGGAGTTCTTCGTCGGGAGCCTCGTGAGGGAGCTGGAGTGGCTGCCGGCGGTGGACGGGGAGGAGGTGGACATGACCGAGGTGCTGGATTTCACCACCCTCATGAAGAATCCCCTCCGTGTTCGCGCCATCCCAAGGACTTGAAGCTACAGTACGTCTCATCCATTCTGCTCAGCGTCATAGTCAACTCTGAACTCTGAAGAAAATTAAAATAAAGAAGTCCATGATGCGGTGTCTGTAGTTAAATTCGAAAAATATATTGTACGCAACGTATTTATAATGGATTCGCTATTCCATATAAACAACCAAATGGTCATTTTTAACACGGGAAGAGACCAGAAAGTCCTCGAACCTGCTTCATAAAACAAAAGTATGTGGGAAGGAGAGTGGCGATAGCGAGCACGGGCTCGCCTGCTCCCGGAACACGTACAAATTGGACAGAGACACGTGTGTGCGTGCATTGAATGTAAATGTACGCCTAAGCAAAGGATAAAGACAGATAAATTGTAGCATACTGTCACGGCGCCGTCTACACAGGCAGCAATGTGGCGCCGTCTACACAGGCAGCAATGTGACGGTACACCATCAATGTGTTCCGTTATGGCAGTACCTAGTAGAGTTCTTGATAGAGTTATGTGTTGAATCTAGTGGCGCCCATGCTTGCGCCAGTTTGCTGTGTCAGCTTGTCTCTTGTTTTGTAGGACCCTCATCTAGTAGCTTCATAAAAAAACAAGAGAAAGGGATGATGATTTTAATTTGCCAGAATGCATGTTTGATGTAAAATTGGCTGTGGGAAGGCAAAGTTTGCGCTAGGGATGAAAATAGAGTGGAAACTTTCCGCTTTTTCGGAGAAAAAATGGAAACGGAGAGAAAATATAAAAACAAGAATGGAAGTTTGCAAAACGGAAGTGGAAATGGAATTTTTTATGCGGAACGGAAACAAAAACCAAACCATGTTTTCCGGTGGAACAGGCGTGGAAACAAAACTTTCCGTTTCCGTGAATATGGAATTTTCGTTTTTACTATAGACCTATGGTTGCTTTGTAGTCCAACCACCAAACAACACACAATGACATAATGAGTAGAATGGATCATCTGAGACTCAATTTCTACTACCACACATGTACTCAGCTTGACCCTATAGCCATGGTAATAATTCATTAAATTTGTTTGTTTGTGTGTATTTCTCTATGATTCAAGGGGTTTTTAAGTTTTAGTCAACGCCCACTTTTGTTTTAGTGTCCGCTTTGTATTCATTCTATATCCGTTTCCGATAGTATATGTTTCCGTATTTATTTTTGGGTTTTTCGTATTCGTTTCCGCTTCTGCAAAAAAAGATGAAAACAAATATGATAGCACCCAGTTCTATTCGTTTTCGCTCCGTTTTCATCCCTAGCTTGCGCTACTGAGTTTGTTGAGGAAGGAGCGGAGAGAAAAAAATCAGTTACACCAAGTTTTCTGTAATCGTGTTTTCAGATAAATGAGTCATAGTCATTTTTGATAAAACGTACTCACTCCGTCCTATAATGTAAGAAGTTTTTTGACACTAGTGTAGTGTCAAAAAGACTTCCATTTTGGGACGGAGTGAGTAGTTTCCTGGCTTTGTGAAAACATAACTTTTCCTTATCCATGTTTCTTTTTGAGAAAATCTTATTCATGTTTTTGTTTGAAGGGCCAAACATGTTTTTAGTTTGTCAGACTGTTACATGGGTTTACGGAAAACTAGTTCGGCTAAACAAGCGTACGCAGACAAGGCTTGGCTGTTAAAAACAGCTTGTTGCATGTCTCTGCCAGCTGGGCCCTAGTGGTCAACCTAAGATTTTTTTTAAACCTGGTCAACCTCGATGTTAGATGAACATAAACAACTGTGGTAGCCATTGCCGGCCTGCGAGCCTGCATGCACTGTGATTAATTAAAAAAAGTGAAGAAACCCGAAATGCAGTCAACACGAGAGCAGATGTATAGTTTATTCAAAAGAAAAGTGAGCAGATGCATGCTTGGTCTGCATGCTTGCGTGTTGACTGGTCTGCATGCTTGCGCGTTGGCTGCCTGTGCGCGCCGCACAGCTGCGCCTCAACGTCCGTCACCCGCACCGCACAAACGACGTCTCTTCCCGTCAGCCCCAATCATTAAATGAACCGTCGTCTACGAGCTGGAACACGGCGTGCGCTCCATATCCCAATAAGGACCGACGCCTACCGATAACGTGAGCATGCGAGCTCGTCCACGCCAACGAGTTTTCGATGTGGGAAGCGTTTATTAGAGCATCTCCAACAGACCGCGCGGTAGCGCGGCGTTCTAATTTTTTTTCATCGCCGAAATAGCGTATTTTAGCACGTAAGAGTGTTTATTTTATCAGGCACTGCAAAAATTAGTGTGCCGCTATAGCGCCAGCAGCCGCTGTAAAATCCAACGGGCGTGAGCAGCCGGTGCTTGCAAAAATTGAAGCAACACATACGAAAAAATATGATGAAACAACACATAGTTTAAATTCAAGCCCCACATCACAATCTAGTCCATACGATGCGAATAATGCTAGATAAAAACGATGCTAAGATGCAAATATACTAGATAAATGCGTCGACAACTAGATAAGCTACTCGTCATCCTCCTCGGTGGTGTAGTCCGACGACGTAAACGCGTCGGTCCATCGAGGATCTTCCTCGTCCCAGGTCGACGCAGGTCCCAGATCACATTGGGCTTCCGCCAGTGCCTTCCGCTCAGGCTTGTCCAGTCGACGCGCGACTCGCTCTGCCCTCCTCTGTGCCTAGAACTCGTTCTCGACGACGACATCCTGCGGAAAGCGCTCGCGCCACACCGCCACGGTGTGCCCATCCGCCTGGGCGATGAGGAGGCGACACTCCCCCCTCCGCTGGACGCGGCAATCCTCCTCGGTGATTAGTCGCTGGGAGGCGCGAGTTCCTGCGCCTGCTAGTGCGTACGCGCGTTAGAGAAGTTCATCTGCGACTGTGGCCTTCCTAGGCACCACGCCGTCGCACCGTACGCGCAGGCGGCCTCGTGGGTCGTCTTGAATGTCCCGAGCCCAAGGCGTGTATCGCTAGAGCGGATCTCCGCGTAATACACGCCAGAGGGGCAGAGGCGGACGCCGTGGAAGCCGGAGTTGCTCTAGGGGCACGGCGGCATGGCGGTGGTGGGGGCAGAAGGCGTGGCGGCGGTGGGGCGCTGGAGGCGGGGGGAGAAGGCGCGGTGGCGGGGCACTGGAGGGGGAGGGAGAAGGCAAGGCAGCGGCGGGGGCACCAAAAAAGGTGAGGAAGAAGGCCCGGGAAGAAGAGGTGAGGCAAGGAAGATGGGGGTTGGCGGGGCGCCAGCGGCCGATGCCGCTTTTTCCCCCGCGCGTGCCGCTTTTTTGCTGCGCCAAACTTTTGTGCGTCCGCTGGAGCGCGCCAATTGGCCTCTCGCACGCCACATAGCCAGGTTTTTCAGTGCGCGGCTTATCTAGCGCGCCTGTTGGAGCTGTTCTTAACTAGGTGCCTGAAAAAAATGGTTTGCGTCGGTCACTTTTTACCACGACCACCGGATATTCATCCAACGGCCAAAACTGGATCACATTACTGTCAGCTTCTTCCTCCCTTCCTTCTTCCTTGCACGGCCGCTTGCCTACCCAGGCTTAACCACCTGCCTTTGCCCCCCGTGGTCGGTGGATATCGCCGGCCCACCCTCCCCTCGAGCTCCCACCACCGTCGTGCTGACCGCCGCCCGACCATCCCTCTAAGGCCCATCGCACAGACTCCGTCGATCCCCTGCACCCCTAGATCCCAACCCCTATAGATAATAGGTCCATGTCTTCCCTCTCAGATATATATAATGGGGCCATGGCTTCCCCCTAAGATAGATAGCGGGGCTACTTCTTCTCCGTCTATGTCTCCCCTTCTCCAGCGAGCTTGGGATGAACTAAGAAAAAGTGACCGACGCTTTGAAAAAATTCAGGTGCCTGATAAATAACAGAAGCGAAGTTTGTGTAGTTTAGGTAATTCCACCGGGCCTTACCGGAGACGGGGTAACGTATCCGTTGTCGAAGGAATTCATGTTTGTAGGTTTGGGTTCGGGTTGCCGATACTAGAGTTCATGGTTGCAATTTAGAGGGAAAGCTAGGGCGGCGGCGACATGGCAGAGGTGACAACGCCAGATGGCCACAGGTGGTGGTGTTCCGTTGGCGTAGGTTAAAAGAGAAAAAATTAAAATAAATCTTAAATTCATACTTCGAGACTAACCTTGAAATCCATGAAATTGGCCCACTTTTTCTATAATCCCGTTCTATCCCAGCCCATCTCGTTTGTGCCAGAGGGATTGTGTATGTGGCAGAGAGAGGGGTGGGGGATCCCCACAAGCTGGACTGATTGTCCTACCGCTCATTGGAGTGGAACCGCCGGTTGATGCTTCAGTCGAAGGGGAAGGGTCCCTATGCTGCATGGATCAAAGTTGGTTTTTGAATAAGGGGACGATGGTGCCCTGCCAGAGGGCAAGACACCGGCTATTGATAGCCCACAAGTATAGGGGATCGCAACAGTTTTCGAGGGTAGAATATTCAACCCAAATTTATTGATTCGACACAAGGGGAGCCAAAGAATATTCTCAAGTATTAGTAGCTGAGTTGTCAATTCAACCACACCTGGAAAACTTAATATCTGCAGCAAAGTATTTAGTAGCAAAATAGTATGATAGTAGCAGTAACGGTAGCAAAAGTAATAGTTTTGGTCTTATAGTGATTGTAACAGTAGCAACGGAAAAGTAAAAAAGCAAAGATCAATATAGGAAAAGCTCATAGGCAAAGGATCAGTGATGGATAATTATGTCGGATGCGATTCCTCATGCAATAGTTATAACATAGGGTGACACAGAACTAGCTCTAGTTCTTCAATGTAATGTAGGCATGTATTCCGAATATAGTCATACGTGCTTATGGAAAAGAACTTGCATGACATCTTTTGTCCTACCCTCCCGTGGCAGCGGGGTCCTATTGGAAACTAAGGGATATTAAGGCCTCCTTTTAATAGAGTAGCGGACCAAAGCATTAACACTTAATGAATACATGAACTCCTCAAACTGCGGTCATCACCGGTAAGTATCCCGAGTATTGTCACTTCGGGGTTAACGGATCATAACACATAATAGGTGACTATAGA